TGCAAAAAAAACACGCAAATTGTTTTGGGCGCATCTACCCATGTTCTAGCGGAGAGTCCATTCTCATTTTGCTTATTTCGAGAGTTGTGGGGGGAGGGATGCGCAGTGTTCGATGCCCAGTTTGGCGCACCAAACTCGACATCAGATTCTCTAACGCCCATTCTCTCTCTCTCTCTCTCTCTCTGAACCTTTCGTGATAATGAATCTTCCTCTTTATCGAGGAAGATTCGTTCTCGTTAGGCATGTGTGATTTCTTTTTTTTTTTTTTTTGCAGAATGTTGTATGTTTTTTTTTTTTTTTTTTTTTTTTTTTTTTTTTTTTTCCATGATGTACTACCGGTTGTTCGAGGTTCGGGAATGATCGGGCTACTGGTAGTCCGAGCCTCAAACTTGATAGTTGGGCGAGGTATTGGTGGTTTAAGGCTGTGGGTCCTCCGCTAGCATTCGAGGGACCGGTCACACTGGAATTTGGACCCCTATATGCCATATTTTGCAATGGTCGTCCAAAGCTCGACCATCTTTTTTTTTTTCCAAATAACTTCATATGCGGGAAAACCCACTTTAACGAGGTGACAAGAGCAGCCCCGTTAAGTGGGTCCCGGTGTTGAAGGCTCCATCTATTGATGGGGAGCTACACCTGCTGAAAATCGGATCCAACGTCCCTGTACAAGAACATGTGTCAGTTGGAAATCGGGTCCAATGTCCCTTATACAATGATGTCAATAGTGTGTGAGGGCAGTCATTAATATCTAGTTTATATGTGTTGTGTGAAGCTGAAGACCCTTGCCCCTGTATCCGCCTTGTCCCCCTATGAAGAAGGAGGCATTGATTACTTCCCAAAACATGGAAGGATTGACCTCATGCCCTCCTAACCACAAATCCGACAGAGCGTATTTCCCATACGCCCCCAAAAAAGCAAAACATGATTCAACCCACACAACCATACATGTCCAACATCTAACCTGGGGAACAATCAACAAGTCATGGCGATTGGGGTTTGAGGGTCGGCCAACCCCAATCCATCAAAGGGTCATCGTCTACCCCGCCCCCTCCCGACACGAGATGAAAAGGAGTGGTTCAATTGTGAGAAACTCCACACAAAATGAGGGGGAGAGACGAGACATCGTAATCAAACAAAGTCCCACCATCAACCTCAATCTCCTACCCTCAGTCAACCTCAGACCTCAGATTGCATCAATTGACTTCTCATCTTACTAATCATTCCCCAAGCGCCGGATGTTGTCGCTGTTGTTGCAGATGCGGGAAGCTTTACCGAAGGTAACTTTGTTGCCGTTTTCATCAGCACTGTTGATGACGTGGTTAATGTTGACGTTGCCCGATAGTTTCCAGGTGGGCCCTCAACCACAACTGTTGCGACAATCTGAGCAGGGACAACTGTCATTTTAGACGATGACGTGACTCTTTATGAGATATGGACCGTACAGTGAGATGTCGCCGCCCCCTCGGCCACAACTGTCGCTGCAATATGAGCAGGGATAACTGTCATTGTGGATGATGACATGACCCTTGATGATATCTGGACCGTACCGTGAGATGTCGCCTCGATTTGCTAAACCGGTGTTGGACACGTTATTGTTATTGTTGTTGATGTTGCATTTGTCGCTTTTATTGTCGGTGGTATTGTTGTTGATGGTTTTGTTGTTGCTATTGTTGTTGTTGTTGTTGTTGTTGTTGTTATTGTTGTTGTCGTCGTTGTTCTTGTTGATGTACCCATTGTTGTTGTTGTTGTTGTTGTCGCTATCTTCGTTGTTGTCATTGTTGTCACTGACGTCAGTGCTACTGGTAGTGGAAGTTCACTGACTGTTGCCACGATCTGACCTTGCAGAGGTTGGAAATGATGTGGTTTTTCCTACCCCCTTCTCCTGTCACCACCACTGCCATTGTTGCAACAGTCGTCGGATAGTGCTCGTCCCTCCTTGAAGAGGCCGTAGCATCTCTGCATGAGCCCTTGCGACTGCTTCCAGTCCATGATATGATCCAGTCGAGGATCTGGCCCCTCCAATATCCAGATGACATTTGTTGGGAGATGTCCTCCCTCCTCGCTACCAATGAGATCCACCCCCCATGAACCTCGGATGGTTGGTTTGCTAACCAGGACAATACCCGCATGAGCTCCTCCAGTTGCTGCCACCCCTCCTCCAAAGTCAACAACCACTCGTCCAACTGTCGTTGCAGATCCCCTTTTGCCGCCATCTCCATGCGAGTTGTGGCTGCTTGTTCGTTCTGTTTCCCTTGCTGAAGTATGCCGCCTTCGTCGCCTCGTGCTCGTGCACAAGGACGTCCCTGGTTCTAGATACCCACGCGAGCGTCCGTCCTTTCGCCACTTCTGCAGCGATGGTGGATACCTACCCTCGTCTTCTTCGGGATTTCCGAGGAAGTCAACCGGTGTGTGACCGGGCCCCGCCGGCCAGACCGGTTAGCGCTCTTGCGCTATGCTCCGCGTCTCTGTTGACGGCCGGAGGGGAGTCAATGCATAAGTTAATACCACCTTAACGCAGACGGCAGACCCCACCATACCACAGCCCTTAGGGCTGCGAACTATACCGCAGCCTTCGGGCTGTTCGCAACCCTTAGGCTGCGGTATAGTGGACTTCGGCGTTTGTGTCAAGGTGTCGCATTTTTGGCGGCGGGCGACCAGGACGCAAGTGGGTTTTTCGGGGCAAAAAAAATTGAGGGAACGGTCCTTGACAAAATTGCGGACTACCTACAGCTAGCTCTGGTAGAACCGGGACTTTTAGAAAAACGAAGGACCGGTCTTGTGGGGGGCATTGGACCGGTCCTCGGGTAGAAGCGGACCCCCCAAAAAAGTGAGGGCATGTGATCTGCAAAAGGGCCCTCAGGCCCAGGCGTTGAGCCCCGTCTTCTCAAAACAGGGAGGTCAGGCACAACGAAACAGGCGTTTTGCAAGAGGCAACTTTGGCGATTTTCTGTGCTCAAACGAACATGCACAAAAATCTGAAATTTTGAGAATCCATAGATGAGGTCGTGTTCTTTCCAAAAATAATAATAGAACATTTACAAAAAATCATTTAGACTGCTAAATAATCGTCGCACCGATTCAACACATTTTCCATTTTTGCCACTCAGCCATGCCTGGGCTTACTAAAAAAGTACTCCAAATTCAGTGAGTTTTCGCGCTCAGAAGAATGCGTGAAAAAACCTCAAAATTGGAGTACTCGTAAATTTTGTTGTGATCTTTCCAGGACAAACGCTACATACATTTAAAAAAATCATTCCAACTGCGAAATACATTGCGGCCGCAATTTGATCCATATTTCAATTTTGTCATTCAACCTCTCTGTCTCTCTCTCTCTCTCTCTCTCTCTCTCTCTCTCTCTCTCTCTCTCTCTCTCT